AGAATGAGAAAAGGACTTGGTTGTAGGGATAATTTCACAGTATATAGGTATAGCAAAGCCTCATATTGTACACTTTATATACTGTTTTGTCAATGATATCACAATAAAGCTTAAAAAAAGAAATGAAAGGGGGTATCATTGGAGATCCTGCATGGAAAAGATAATAAAGGAGGACTGTGAAAAATTATGCACATAAATGCAACTTGGAGGAAATAGACCGATTCTTTAAAATCCACAAACTACCAAAACTCATACAGAAATGCAACGATGATTTAAAGAATCCTGTGACCGTTAAAGAAATTGAATTTGTAATTGAAAATCTTTAAAAAAATAATCTTTGGGGCTAGACGGTTTCACTGGAATATTCTACCAAACATTTAAGGATAATGAAGCCTCGGTATTAAGCTCTGGGTCTGGGGTGCAGGGGAAGGAGATTCCAGGTCTTTGACTCTGCCTTGCTGCATCCCTGGTAAGCTCCTGGTTTGTTCCCTCCGCACCAAAGCAAGCACTGCAGCGCCATGCCCCCTTAGAGGTTTATAAGCCACGGTGCTTGGCCTTCGGTGATTCATTCCTGGGCACCTTTCATGTGCTTAGGCCTGTGAAGCATGCAAGGTGAATCAGACCAGGTTCTTAATCGCCGAGAACTTATGAGGAAGACAGAAAGACAGGATGGCAATTTACATCTTCTGATATATTCTTGGTAATGAAGAAGTTCACAGAAAGCCAACTAGGTTCACCTCAGCTCACACATTTTTATTTTTAAGAAATACATGACATTCCTCCTCATATCTCCACACAGTTCCCGATGTGGACGCACACGCACACGCACACACACACAGCGTTAGAGAGGTCAGCGGTTGTAGAAGTACAGAACGTATCCAATCAGTCACATACCACATAGTTATTGAACACCAGCTCTAACCCTGGGCCTGTGCTGGACCCTCTTCAGAGGGGGGAAGAGTTCACAGATGAGCAGGTGACTCATGCTTGAAACAAACAACTGCTCAGAGTGGCTCAGTGGTTGAGCGTCCACCCATGCGCCAAGAGGTCGCGGGTTCGATTCCTGGTCAGGGCACATGCCCAGGTTGTGGGCCAAATTCCCAGTGGGGGGCACGCAGGAGGCAGCCAATCGATGTTCTCTCTCATCGATGATTCTATCTCTCTCTCCCTCTCCCTTCCTTTCTCTCTAAAAATCAATAAACAAACAAACAAAAAAAGAAATAAAAAAGAGAAACAGATCCCTGCCACAAAGAGTGAAGGTATCATGATAGAATTAGGTACACTGGCCACAGGTGCATAGGGTAGGAAGCCGCTATCACTTTTGGGGGGGAGTACAGGAGTAAACTTATAAGTCTTCACAGAAGAAAAGAACCGGAATGCGGTCTTCAAGGAAGTGAGATAGTCCTCCAGGTGGGCAAGGAGAAGGGCGAGAATGTCCAGTAGAGAAAAGAACAACGTGGTTATAAAATAGCACAGTAGTACAGCACGTTAGTGTTGGGTGGAGGGACCCAAGAGGTGAACCTGGAGAGACAGATTTGGGACCCTTGCTCAAGGACAGGGCTCATTGATCATAGAAGGATTTATTTACTTATTTATTTTCGTTTTTAAAAAATCCTCACCCAAGGATATGTGGTTGGTTTTTTTTATTGATTTGAGAGAGAGAAACACTGATGTGAGTGAGAAACATCGATCAGTTACCTCCCATACATGTCCCAACTGAGGACGGAACCCACTATCTTGGTATGTGCCCTGACCAGGAATAGAACCCGTAACCTTTTGGCATATGGAACGATGCTCCAACCAACTGAGCCACCAGGCCAGGGCTATTTTCATTTTTTATTGAATTTCATTGAGTATGTGTCATATGCATGTGGTATAAAACTAAAAAAAATATAAAAGATTTTAGAGAATATTAAAATTTCCCACCTTCCCTACCCCCACCTGAAGTCAGTCTCCATAACTGGTATCTTGTGCATCCTTCCAGAGCTATTTTCTGTGCATTTACAAATATGTGTCTGTGTCTGTGTATTTTCCACATAAAGGTGGCATATGACACTTTCTATCTCGTACCTTGCTTTTTTATTTGTATATTTCTTTTATTTATTTGGAATGGGGTTGTACCGTAATTCATTGGATCAGTCCTCTGTTGATGGAATTTAGGCAATTTCTAGTCTTTTGCTATTGTAAACAAACTATGCTGTAAGACGATCCTTGTATATAAGTACATTTGCACATGACAGCATATCTATAGGATAAATTCCTAGGAAGGGAATCATTGGTCAAAGAGGAGAAGTATTTTTAGTTTTACTATTTTTGATAATGCCCCATGCTGTGCTCAGAGGCTGTGCCGATGCCTGCTTCCCTTTCCCCCGGCCCACAGAGAGTATTCTGAAACTTTTCGCTTTTTTAGGCTAAGGTTTTTATGTTTCGTCCTATAAGTAATGCTAAGCTACTAGGGCTTTGTTTTTTTTCTTTAAGCAGAGGAGTGTCCCAATCAGATTTGTGTTTTGGATAGATCCCTTGGGCTGCGGTGTGGATACGCAGAGGCAATGAGTAGAGAGCCCTGCTTCCAATCAGGAGGCTTTGCAGTGGTCCAGACCAGAAAGGATGGTCAGCAGCTTGGGTTAGGTAGTTGGTAGAGGAGACAGAGAGAGGAACAGATGTTGAGATACTGAGGAAGTGGGTTCAGTAGTAGCATTCAGGCACTGATCTGGCTGGGGTGAGGGACGTGGAGAGAGCTGTAGTCAAAAGTTCTGTTTTCAGGAGCCTTGTGTGCAAAGTCATAGATTTCATGTCCATATTAATATTTCCAAATCCGAGAAAATCGGAAATTAAAAGAAGGTTCTGATATATTACTGATTGCTATTTGTTGACTCCAAGGTGTTTTTGTCTGTTAATATCTTACTGGTTGTAAGAGAAGTTGGAAGAGTGTTTTTATTAAAATTCTTAAGTCAGTTGGACTTAACATTTGATGGCTCTGGATATTCACCAAACGCTTCTATTTTTCCCTACTCATATCATTCATTCAAAATTCCATATTCAATAAAGTAACTTTAAATTTCCTAATTAATTGAGATATATTTTAATTATATCTTTTAAAAAGTAATTCTATGATCTGTTTGCTTTGGTTGTGTGTGTGGTTCTTCTGATACTTAGAAGTATTTGCGTATAGTAATTTATAATTTAAATTTTATATAATATCATTCATTATTTTATCTGTTCAGTGTCTTTTAATTTTTTATAACGAGTAATGATAGTTTCCACTTCCTCCCCACCTTTTTTCTCTTTTCTATCTGCTGTTAGCCCAAAGTTTTATTCCGGAGTAATTTTTTTTTTTGTATTAGTTAAATACCCTGTATTTCTATTACCTGGTTTTTCAGCTTTGAGTAACGTCTTTGGTTCCTGGCTTGTATAGGTGATACAGTCAAAGATCTACATCACTCACCACCTTCTTCCCCTTTCCCCTTTCATGCTAGTTGGATAGTTTCTGCATTGTCAGGACGTAAAACGTTGACGTTCTGATATGCCAGTCTGAGCTCCTGTGGTCTTAGTCTTGGTTCTACTGTGATGTATTTAATGCTTAGCATCCGTTCTTTGCCAGTGGTTTCCCTAATCACCTTTAGTTGACTGAAGTTTGTTTTCTAGAAGTTGCCTCAAGCAGGGCATATGGGAGCAATATTCCTTAACTCCTTGTATGTTCAAAATAATTTTCTTAGCTTAGCAATTTTTGGGAGGTTTCTTTTTTTTTTTTTTATCCTCACCCGAGGATATTTTTCCATTTTTTGTACAGATAGAGTGGGAGGGAGAGAGAGGAAGAGAGAGAGAGAGAGAGAGAGAGAAACATCGACGTGAAGGGACACATCGAGTGGCTGCCACCCGCACGACCAACCAGGGCCGGGGACAAACTGCAACCGAAGTACGTGCCCTTAGCGGGAACCGAACCCGGGTCTCTCCGGACTGCAGGCCGACGCTTTAACCGCTGAGCCAAACTGGCCAGGGCGATTTTCGGGAGGTTTCTATGGTGTTTTTTGAGATCTGCGATCAGTGGGATGTTCCCCTTTTCTTTCCCTACTTCCTTGGACCCCTCCCTGATATGTCTTCTGCTTGACGCCCTCCAGGATGCTGCAGCTTTTGCAGGTCGAGTTTTGGGGCTTATCCCCCTAGGATAAGTCCTTTATGCACAGTAACCCTTTTGCTGGAAAATTCTGAGACCTGCTCACCAGTTTCATTACTCGCCTGCTGAGCTGTTTCACTGTTTATCCCCCCCCCCAGCTTTTGTTCCAGCTCAGCCCCCCAATGTTGCACCTGTCTGCTTTAGACAACCGTGGCCCACTTTTTTGAGACTGTGAGTTTTATTTGCCTCCAGTTTCAGTAACAGCAGAGTTTGCTTTATTTTGAATTTTTATTTATTTTTTATTATTTACTTGGTTGGTTTTGATGACATCCAGGAAGAGTCAAATTGCTGTCTTATACTACTATGTTTAGACAGTAAGTCCGTTATCATTTAAATGGGTGGCATTAGAGTAAAACAGCAAAGAACATGGGATTTGGAGCTAGACACACCTGGCTCTAAATATCCCCACTTCACCCCTAATAATTCTGTCCAGGGCCTTGGGTGCCACAAGAGAGGGACAGGTGGATTGCTCAGAAGCGGTGGGGAGACAGCTCTCCTTCAAATGGCCAGGGGCTGGTGGGATAACACATGAGAAGGGTCTTTCAGGAAAGGCAGGACTTCTTCAGGGAGAGCTGAGAAGGACGGAACTAGACCTAGATGCTGGGTATTCCCTGATCTAGATTCTGAGATCAGAGATCGGGGTGGGCAGCTTTGGCACTTTGGCACATGTCCTTTGCCTCCCAACCCCCTTGGGGTCCTGGGAACCAGGTGACAGGATTCTCATGAAGGCAGCTGTGGAGAAGGTCAGAGGAGGCTGGGCTGCCAGATTGGAGATCGATTCTGAGGTCCGTGAGTTAAGCTCTTGCTTTTGCCCATGTGTTCTCAGGTCCCGGAGACCCAGGTGATCATGGCTTCTACCGTACCAGCCAACAGCAGTGCTGGTATAGCCTCTGCTGGTGGCAGGACCCTCAGAAGTCAGGGCGTCGTTGAGCCCATGGATACAGAAACCCAGGAAAGTAGAACAGATGCTGATCAGAGACGTGGAGGCAAGAATGCAGAGGCAGATGGGAAGATGCAGGTGGATAGGAGGACACAGGACGACGGAACACAGACAACCCCGAGGAATACTAAAGGAATACAGGCAGACAGGAAGACGAAGGTGGACATTGTGACAGAGTCCCAGGGAAGGGCAGGGACCCAAGTAGAAAGGACACAGGAAGACAGAAAGACACAGGTAGGTGAGAAGTCACAGGGAGACAGAAGGATACAGAAAGACAGGGGGGCACAGTCAGAGGGGAGAGTACCCATAGCCCTTAAAGTTCAGCCAGAGAAGTCAGTGACCAGCCTCAGCCCACAGTTGAGAGCCCCTGCACCCTCCCCTGCAGAGGGTCCCAGTTCTCAGAGTATGGGGCGCTTTGAGCAGACCCCAGAAAGGTCCTCTGTCCCAGAGAAACCTGGCCTCATGCTCAGATCCGGGGAGGCAGCAGAAACAGCTTCTGGTAACCAAGAGGAGACTGTGCTGGGTCCCCTGACGGGGGACCTCATGTTCCCAGCACAGCAGCTTCCTGAGGGTAGCTTGGAGCAGATGGGAGGAGAGAGATGTTGGGTGCCAGAGTGGTCAGGCCCGGTCAAGGACAAGCCAGGGGATAGCCTGTTCCAGCGCTCCAAGGAGGAGCAGACGGGGAAAGTGTTGTCTGTGGATCTGGGCGGCTGTCCTCCTGCTGGCCTGAGCCTGCAGGTGCCCACTCTGCCTTCTCCTGTGGACACCGGTCCGACTGATAGCTCACAGCAGGGGCTGCCCAGCACCCCCAGTTCTCAGCACATGAGTACAGTTGCCTTCTTGCCCTCTGGGGACCAGGCCTTGCTCAGTTCTTCGCCGTCACTGCACATGGGGCTGGGGACCACCGCCCAGAGACACCCACCAGAAGCCATGGCAGCCAGCAGCGAGGGGACCTGCACCAGGATGTCGGATGAGGAAGGGAAGCCCTCAAGCACCCAGCGCTGTGACCCTAGCCTCATAGACTCCCTGAAGAACTACTTGCTTCTGCTGCTGAAGCTATCCAGCACAGAGACAGGTGGAGGGGGCACAGAGTCCCAGGGGGGAGCTGCCCTCAGGGGTCTGGCACCCTCGCCCCCGCTGGCCCCCGCGGTGGAAGTGGCTGGTCTGAGTCCACAGACGTCGCGGCGCATCCTGGAGCGTGTGGAGAACAACCATCTGGTGCAGAGCGCACAGACCCTGCTGCTCAGCCCCTGCACCTCCCGCCGCATCACTGGCCTCCTGGACCAGGAGGTGCAGGCTGGCCAGCAGGCCCTGGCTGCTGCCCGGAGCCCCGGCCCCAGCCCCCTCGCTGTCCCTGCCATCGTGGTGGGTGAGGAGGAGGGCCCTGGGCTAACCTCGGAAGGATCTAGTAAGGGTGAGGGAGAGGTTCCCCTTGAGAGGCCTGGCCTCCTGGGAACCCCCCAGGAGAGCAGCTTGGGGGGTCTTCTGGGAGAGACAGGTGGGCAGGGTCTTCTCTCGGCAGAGAGCAGAGCCCCGGAACCCTTCCAAGAGGAGGGGCTCCCACAGGAGGTGCCACCGGGTCTCCCCGCGGCCACCCCTGAGGAACTGGCTCTGGGGGCCCGGAGGAAGAGGTTTCTCCCAAGGGTCAGAGCAGCAGGGGAGGGGGAGGCAACCAAGCCTGAAGAAAGGGAGAGCCCCACAGTTTCCCCCCGGGGACCCAGAAAGGGCCTGTCGCCTGGGTCCCCGGGGACCCCCGGGCGGGAGAAACGCTCCCCTACGCAGGCCCGAAAGGCAGGCCTGCTGGAGGTGCCACGGGCAGAGGAGGACCAGGCAGCAGGAGACCTGGGCGCCGGCCCCAAGCCCAGTGCCCTGGATGCCGAGCTGGCCCAGGATGAAGACAAGCAGGAACCTCTGGCCAAGCCGAGGAAAGCCAAAGACCTGCTGAAAGGTGAGCGGTCCTGGGGACGGGGCCCCGCTTCCCCGAGAGGGCTGCCCCGCAGAGGACATGGCTGCAGCTGCTGGGGTGGCACATGTCGACTAGGGATTCACAGAGGACCTCCCAGAGGTATCCGTACATCATGACCCCACAGGTTTGGAATCGGGACGGCTGGCCTCCCTGCCCCGGCTCTGCCACTTGGAATTGGTATCAGTACCAACCTTGTAACACGGCGAGGGGTAAATAAGAGCGAATACATCAAGTACTTAGCACAGGGATTGGCTTCCACAGCATCATACCTCTTTCATCATCATCGCCATAATGCCCTCTTCGCAGACTTGTCCCACGAGCACAGAATGGTAGGGACAGGGTTCAAATGTAGGTTCCCAGAGTTAGGGGCCTGGACTGCAGACGGAGGTTCCTCTCTTGACTGCTGTCTCTGCCCTCCGCTGGCAGGCTCTCCCGGCCGGGAAGGGGTATGGTAGTGGGCTCTCTCCAGCGAGCATGGATGCTTTGGTGGTCGGGCAGACCCTTCAGAGACACAAGCAGAGCACAGCGGGGGGCCGGGAAGGAGGGAGTTTGTGTGGAGCCTCGAATCCTGTTTTCTCTCAGCCTGTTCTACCAGGGACACCCAGGGAAGCAGGGGCAGGGCCAGAGAGGGCACAGATGAAGCGGAGGGGCTCAGTCCTCTTACCTGGGCCCCTGTTCCCAGCCCCACAGGTGATTCGAAAGATTCGGGTGGAGCAGTTTCCCGACGCCTCGGGCAGCCTGAAGCTCTGGTGCCAGTTTTTCAACATTCTTAGTGACTCAGTCTTGACATGGGCCAAGGATCAGCGCCCCGTGGGCGAGGTGGGCAGGAGGTAAGCCGTCTGGAGGCCACTCCCCCTGACCTGGCTCCCTGATGACAGATCATAATGTTGGGCCTTGTCCTTGCATTTTGGGTCTGTCACTCAATCTTCACAGTGACCCTTCGAGGGAGATTCTGGCATTGTCATAGTAGAGAGGCGGATTGAGACTCAGAGGTCGGGCCCTGGCTGTGCCGTGGGAACGGCCCTCACAGGAAGGGTCTCCGCTCTCTGCAGTGCAGGGGACGAGGGGCCGGCGGCACTGGCCATCGTGCAGGCGTCCCCCGTGGACTGTGGCACGTACCGATGCACCATCCACAATGAGCACGGCTCGGCCTCCACCGACTTCTGCCTCAGCCCCGAGGGTGAGTGTCCCCCGGGTCTCGGCCTGGCCTCACTCCTGAGGGAGGACAGCTGTCATCTGCAGAGAGGGCGCTCTCCCTGGTCAGACCAGCCCGAGGACAGCTGCTTTCTCTTCTTTTTCTCCACACAGTGTTGTCCGGATTCATCTCCAGAGAAGAAGGTGAAGGTACGGAGCGCCTCGGGGGAGGAGTGGGTGACCCTCATCCCTGCCCTGCCATCTGCAGGGGGACCTCCTCCAAGGACTTGGAATCCATTCTGAATGCCATGTTAACCTTCACAGACAGCTCCCTTTGCCTCCTCGTTCAGGAGATGCTTGAGGAGGGAGGGGATGGCTGTTTCAGAAGACGGGGGGAGGAGGTGCTGAGGGGTCCCATTCCACAGGAGTTCATTCAGCTCTGTGCCCTTTGCCTGCAGAGCACCCCAGGAAGGGCAGGGCGGGCCTGCAGGACACACCTCCCCCTCCAGCTCCCTTCCCAGGTTTCTCACAGTGGCCTGTGCATTACATTCACACAGGGAGCCTGTTGGAAATGCAGTTTGTGATGATGATTATTATTTGTTGTTGTTGTTAATCCTCACCTGAGGATATTTTTCTATTGATTTATTTTATTTTATTTTTTTAGACTGACTCTATGGGAGGTAGTGGTGGGAGAGAGAGAGAAACATTGATGTGAGAGAGACACATTGGTTGGTTGCCTCCCACACGACCCCGACCAGGGCTGGGGATCAAACCCATAACCCAGGTACATTCCGTTAGCTGGAATCAAACCCAAGACGCTTTGGTGCATGGGCCGACTGGAAATGCAGTTTTTTAGGCCCTGATGCAGATCTTCTTAATCACCGTGTCTGGGGAAGGACCCGGGAAAACTGCATTTCCCGTAGGCTCCCTGGTGACTGTGATCTACCCCAACATTTCATAAGCATTTTAAAGGTCCAGGCATTAAGAGAAAGAGTCTGTGTTGCTTCTGCAAGAGATGGACTAAGGATTAGCAGGGTGAAGGTAGCTGGTGATGGAAAGATTCCTAGCGCGTCATTGGCCAACTAACGCACGAATTCCTTCTCTCATTTACTCTTTCAATCACTCATTGATCCAATCAGTGCCCTTTGTTGATTATCAAATCAAATTTAGTTACACCTAAAAACTCAGTACAGGCATACCTTCCTTTATGGTGCTTCAAACATGTTGTGTTTTTCACAAATTGAAGTCAAGACCCTCCACCAGCAAAAAGATTATGACCCCCTTTATTGCGGTACTAGCTTTATTGCAGTACCTGCTTTATTGAGGTGCTCTGGACCCAGATTCACAGTATCTCTGAGGTATGCCTGTAATAATTCTTTAAAATTATCAAATATCCAATCTAATTTTCCTGGTTGTCTCACAAATTTTGGTTTATTTGAATTAGAAACTACTCATTGCTTTGGGCCGACATATAAGTCTCTCTGATATATAAATTCTTTTGTTTTTCCTCCTTGCTACTTATTTGTTGAAGTCACATGCTTTGTAGAATTTCTTACATTCTAGATTTTCTGGTTATACAATTATTTAACACCCTACCTCCACAGCTTGGTCAGATTCACATGTACTTTTTTTTTATTTTTTTTATTCCTCACCCGAGGATATTTTTCTATTTATTATCAGATGAGTGGGAGGAAGGGAGAGAGAGAGAGAGAGAGAGACAGAGAGAAACATCTATATGATAGAGCCACATCGACTGGCTGTCTCTCGCATGAACCGACCAGGGCCGGGGATAAAATGCAACCGAGGTACATGCCCTTGACTGGAATCGAACCTGCGACTCATTGGTCCCCCGGGCCAACACTCTAACCACTGAGCCAAACCGGCCAGGGCCACATGTGCTTATTTTGGCAAGGCCACCTCACACATGTGCAGTATGTTTTCTTTTGCATCATATCTAGACTCACATAACATCTGATTCTTTCACTTTTAGTAACATTAAGATTGATCACTGGGTCTATTCAGGTGTCTTCTGCCTGATCCATCCCTTTTAACAGTTAAAAATCTATATCTGACACACCCATGTTATTATCTAAGGGTTTTAATAGTCACTGATAATCGTCTAAATCCATTATTTCATTAGAGTTTGCAGCATGGAGCATTTTAATTATGCCATCTCTTTTTCATTCGTTAGTTGAATGTCTTCTGTAAAGGAGAAATGGTTATTTGGTTACCCTGCGTTGATGTCCTAGCAGCTTCCAAAGTCACCAAGGAGTTTTGTTTTTTGTTTTTGTTTTTTTGCAGGGGTGGGATGGCAGGGAACGTTAAATTATAATTGTGAACATAGGGATTTTTGACACATTTGATATGTTTAATACATTGCCAAAATTATTCATTTTCGTTGATAGGGTTTGGGCAATGGTAGCCCCTTCAGAAGCATGTCTCCTGTGTCCTTTCGACAAACCTGCAAGAGTCTTTAATAGCTTCTTTCCTTTCTGCTCTGACAAGATGTTTCGGGTCCATCCAGTAGACTTCCCTCCCCAGACCTGGAATCAACCCTTTCTTCAAGGAGCTGTCGTTCCCTTTTAGTGGGAAATGGTATTTAGTGGTCATAATCTGAGCACTAGATTGGTCCTGCAAACTTTTTGTTTGAGTCAAACATGTTGGTTGAGATGGAGTCATTTATTCATTTGATCAAAGCACCTAATTCGGAAACCAAGTAATTCTGGTATTCTGTGTTGGTTGCCACTTCCACAGAAAACCCCTGCCTCCCACAGACACTGACCACGTTCTTACTAAGTGGCAGGCGCTCTCGAGCACTGTTACACGACAGGCGGGTGTCAGATACAGTTTCTGCCCTCAGGAGCTCACAGTTGGGTCGGGGACCCAAAGTGTCCCCCACAGAGCGCAGTGCACAGAGGTGGAGAGTGGGAGACCGTTCTCGCTGTTTCCTACCCTACAGACCCCACATCAGTGAGGCAGGAGCTTCTACTTTTCCACATTTTTCCTGTTTCCCTTCAGTTGGAGAAGAGATTGAGATGACGCCCATGGTGTTTGCGAAGGGTCTGGCTGACTCTGGCTGCTGGGGGGACAAGCTCTTTGGGCGCTTGGTGAGCGAGGAGCTACGAGGGGGTGGACGTGGGTCCGGCCTCCAGAAGGCCTCCCAGGCCAAGGTCATCTACGGGCTGGAGCCCATCTTTGAGTCGGGCCGCACGTGTGTCATCAAGGTGTCCAGCCTCCTGGTGTTTGGGCCCAGCAGTGAGACTTCCCTTGTGGGCAGAAACTACGACGTCACCATCCAGGTACTGCGCCCCATGCCCACGCCCGTCCTTGCACTGTCTCAGCTCCTTCCCTTTCCAGCCCTGCTCCGGCGGGAAGCCCAGTGCAGCGGCAGAAGCCATCTGAGCCTCAGCTTTGTGAGGGTCCTTGGGGTGAGCCTGAGGCAGAGCCCAGGTTACATCTCTGAGGCCTTAGTTGTCAAACTACATTTTTGCAGCAGAAACCTTTCCTGCTGCCCTCAAACGTCTCTTGCACCGAAGCCTTACTTGTGAGATGACAGGGCAGTGACTGTGGGTGGGGTGGTCTGTGCTGCACCATTCAGGCCCCTGTGCTGTCCACAGTGTGGCCCCTGGGGCACGGGCACCTGTCACCAGGGCTCCCTCCAGTCCTCTAGCAGATGGCCTCCCACTTGGAGCTGGGCGTGAGTGGACCGGGAACTTCCTTGCTGATCAGGTTGGGTTCTCTGTGATCCACAGGGGTGCAAGATCCAGAACATGAGTCGGGAGTACTGCAAAATCTTTGCAGCTGAAGCCCGGGCAGCGCCTGGCTTTGGGGAGGTGCCTGAGTAAGTGCACGGGGAGGGGGTGATTTCTCGGGCATCCTGAGTTCTGGCCATGTGCAGGTGGACCCACAGCCAACCCCATGCTCAGCTCGACGGTCCCATAAAGTCTAGAAATAAAGACCCCAGGATCCACCGCCCGCTTTAAGAAAGCCCCTGCCCTGGTCTTCAGTCTCCTCTCAATCACTCCAGTTCCCCACCCCTTCGTCCGGTTTCTGCTAATTGCAGAGTTTGGGCACAGTAGATTCTGGGCCTCTCTGAGGGTGGCGGGCTGAGCTTAGCCGCTAGGAACACTGCTCAGGACTCTTCTGTGGTCGTCAGCAGAGTCAGTGTGGGTTTGTAGGGGTCAGCTCTACAAAATGGTGATTGTTTCCACTTGGACCCCTGAATGCCTATTCTTGAATATTGGGATCTGGCCGACATTGAGCCACAGTCCGGTTGCATCTTCTCCTTTCTGTTTGACACCTGCTTGTCTGAGTCCCCTTTCAAGCACAGAGTCCTCCTGGGGCCGCAGCATGGATCATGTCTAATCCCGCTGACTCGGAGAATGGACAAGACTCTGAAGCCAATGGCTCCATTTCCTTTCCTGCCTTGTCCTTCAGCCTCAGAGCTGAGGATTCTTTCTTGGAAGGGCCCTCCTTTTAATTTTTTTTTAAATCTTCACCTGAGGATATTTTTTCGTTTTTCTTCAGATAGAGTAGGAGGGTGAGAGAGAGAGAAACATCAATGTGAGAGAGACACATCACCTGGTTGCCTCCCGCATGACCCCTACCAGGGCCGGGGACCGAACCACCACTGACATATGTGCCTGTGACCGGAATCAAACCCGCCACTCTTTGGTCCACGGGCCAAGGCTCTAACCACTGAGCCAAACCGGCCGGGGCGGAAGGGCCCTCCTTTTAGATCCAAGAGTCTAGAATGGAGATGGAGCGGGGAGCTCTCTGCCACCCTCCTTCCTGCTCACTGCAGGGTGAAACTGTGTTTAGGATCATCCCACTGTATCTGATCTACCGGCCTGCAAACAATATCCCATATGCGACGCTGGAGGAGGACCTGGGCAAGGCCCTGGAGCCTTACTGTTCCCGGGAGTCGAGCTGGGCCGCAGCACCAGCACCGGGCAGCTCCGAGGCCATACAGAAATGCCAGACCTTCCAGCACTGGCTGTATCTGTGGACGAACGGCAGCTTCCTGGTCACAGATCTGGCAGGTACGAGGGTACGAGGGTGCATGTAGGCATGTGTGCGAGAGCAGGCCCAGGGGCAGAGGAGGGTGCTTGTGTGCTAGCCTACCACCCATTTTCGTGGAAGGTGGTCAACGCGGAAAGAAGCGTCGCAAAGTTAATATTTACTGCACAACGGCCGTGTTTCGGACGCTAAGTTAGAGTCCTCCGTGTTCTGTGATCGTCTCAGTACTCCTGCGAGATGGTCAGTGTCCCCCCACTTCTATGGTGGAGATAGTAAGTGACTTGCCAAGTTCAAACAGCTTGAGTGTGGCAGAGCTGAAATGTAAATCCAGGTCTATCTGACTCTCAAGCGCACATTTACGCCACTCAGTGGTACGCAGCCGTGTTAGGGAGCAGAATACCAACGACGGTTTGAAAACTGGGGAAGAGGGCCGCCAGTCCAGCATGTGAGTGCTAAGGTGTTGGGGTGGGCCAGCCAGAGTGGAGAAATTTCTCCATCACCATCTTGCGTGGCTGTATTCTTCCAAGGCTGTCTCAACCCAGGAGACCGTCTTGGCTGCTGCCTTTGTGAATACGCAGAAGCTAGACTCGCCCAGTGTTAGTTTCTGCTGGTCCAGCCCTAACGTCCCTCACTTGTACACATCCCTCTTGCCCAAACAGGGTCATCTATTAAGAGGAAGGAGAAAGTTTTAGCTCCGAGGTAGAGGCCAGCCCAGTCGGTAACCTAGTCTGATCCAGTAGAGGCAGGGTTGCATGGCTGGAGGAGTTTGGGATCTAGGAGTAAGGAAAATGGAACTTTTTACTTTGACTCAAAGTGACCAGCTCTCAATTACTGAATGAATCAGTGTGACTTGGCTTGAGTCACTGAACTCTGAGACTAGCTTCTCACCTGTAAAAATGAGAACATGATTACTACCAATAATACAGAAAGACCCACACTGCCTGTGAGGTAGGCCAGTGGTGATGACCCAGTGAGGATCCTGAAAACAGACCCTGAGACCTGGCAAGTTTCTGTCTTGAAGGCACAGGGGCCCTAGAACTAGCCTAGGCTGCCATCAGCCCAACTCCCAACTTTCTGTCTTTCCAGGGGTTGACTGGAAGATGACTGATGTGCAGATTGCCACCAAGCTGCGAGGGTGAGTACTTCTCAAGGACAAAACGCCTTCTGAGAGTCTTCTTAGGGTCTAACGTGTCTAAGTTCTTCTGGTTCTTCACCCCGAGGGGCTAGGCCTACAGCGAAATGGGTGCCATGTAGTAACATCCCAGGGCTACGAATCCCCACATGCTGTGCCCCTGCCCCGGATCTGGACCAGCAGCTGTTGATGCCCACACATAGGGTCACCTGCAGTCCTGGGCTCTGACTGCACCTGCTCCTCTTCGTTCTCACTTGAGAAAGCTCATCGCAACACAGATGAGTCAGGGCCGTGAGCAGAGGGATGCCCTGCGGTCTGCGCTCATTTATATTGAAAGACAGATCGTCCTCACATCAATTAGTGCCCCACGTGATGAATTCCGTGCGCCAGGGAATAGAGAGACCTCAGTTTAGAAGTGAAGTTTTAGATCCTGTCACCTGAGGTAGCACCAGGGCACCAGGTAGACTCCAAAGCACACCCAGCTAGGGTAGTATGTACCTTGGCCACAGTACTCTGGCCATAACCATCCCAAAGCCGGTCCCCCGAGGACCCTCAGTCTGGGTGGGACTCCCATTCAGCTCTTACTGTTTGGCTGCAGATACCAAGGCCTCAAGGAGAGCTGTTTCCCTGCCCTGCTGGACCAGTTTGCGTCCTCCCACCAGTGCAACACCTTCTGTGAGATGCTGGGGCTGAAACCCCTCAAGGGCCCCGAGGCTGCCCACTCCCAAGCCAAGGCCAAAGGCTCCAAGAGTCCATCTGCCGGCAGGAAGGGCCCCCAACTGAGTCCTCAGCCCCAGAAGAAAGGCCTCCCCAGTCCCCAGGGCACCCGGAAGAGCACCCCAAGTTCCAAGGCTACTCCTCCGGCCTCAGGGGCAGTCGCTACCCAGTTATTGGGACAGCCTCCCATCCAAGAGGGGGGCTCCAAGGCGCAGGGCATGCGATAGCCCCTACAGGAGGCTGGGGGCCTCCACCCAGCAGCAGACCAACAAGGAAGCAGCTCGAACCGATGGAGACTTTCCCAGTACAGACTGACCAGAGAAGGTGTGCCGAGCGGGCGCCACTTGGGGGCCTCTCTGCGCAGCCTCTTCTCAGTCAGCTTCTCATCACATGACTTTGGTGCATGGCACACAGCCCGTGGCCTCTCCTGGTGCACGTCACCAGGGCTCCTAGACCCCACATCCAAGTGCCTGGGGGCAGAGGCCCTCCTTGAAGTTTACACTGGCCTCTGCTGGAGGCTCCCTGAGTCCTCTGCATGAGTTCTGCACCTGACCCCTTGCCCCAGCGAGCCCCTGCCATGAACGGTGTCTCTGGGGCATGCAGGCCAGCACTTACCCTCTGCCCTTCGCTTGCCCTAATCTCCCTGATCTCAGGGCTCCGGGCTTCCTCCGCGGTGTGACTCTCAGGGTGTCTTCTCCCTCAGACTACTTCGCCTCATTCACCTCAGCGTACCCTGCAACTAACCTGTCCCGGAGCCCCATGTGGGTCCTTTCAGTCCATGTGCGGTGGTCTTTGGTGACACGTGTTCTTGCTGTTTCTTCCCCCTTCACTCAGGAACTCACTTGCCTGCTCCCCATGCTTTCGTGCACCCCACCCCTGGCTTTGAGCCCCGCTGCAGCCTGCTGCCTGCCCTTCGCTGACTCTGCTTGTCCCCTTGCCTGATGGCTTTTCTAGCCTGACCCACCACCCTACCTCCAGGACCCAGATGACGAGTAGACCCTCTGGCCTCTAGTCCACCCCAGTCCACTCCTCCCTACTTTCCCCAGGCCCTCTGCCTGTGAGGTGAGAACTGGTATGAGGGCTGTGCCAGCAGCTGTGGCCAGAGGGAAAGTATGGACTTCGAGGGACCCTGTGCTCCATACTGAAGGGGGGGGGGGCATGTGAATTTCACATCCCCTCCCGGCCAGATGGAGGGCTGGGACTCTTTTCCATGGGGAAATGGCTTGGGAGTTCTAGGAAGGATGTAAACCATCTACCCTCTGGGATAAAGGGATATCTCTGTGCCTGGGACTTAGGACCCTTGCTCCCAGTCATTAGCTCTTTATCCTGAAGCTTTATCCTGGGACCTAATACATGGGGTCCCAAGGAACTGCTGTGCTCAGCTCAGCACTCTGTGTCTTTCCTGAAGGCCCTGGATGGGGTGTGTCTGGAGCTAGCCTGCTCCCCTTGGAATGTAATAAAGGTGGCGACTGTGTTTCCTGTTCATCCTCCTCTGGTGTGGTTGTAGGTGTATGGGCTCAGGGCCCCCTCTCCCGAGGTAGGTTCTCCAAGGGCAACCTACAGTCAGTCCCTGGGCCCACTGGAAGAATGAGTCCATGTTTTGGCTCCCGGGTTGACCTTTAGTCTCAGGCCTCTGTGGCCACAGCTAGACAGTCCGTGCTTCTTGTACAAGTGGGCTGATGGCTTGTGTCCCTTAGCAGGGTGTCTGTGGACTTGGGGCCAGATCGGAATTGCTCCTTCATTTGGGAGAGGAACCTGAAGAAGGAACCCAGGAGGGTAAAGTAGAGCTGGGGGCTCAGGGGAAATGCCAGCGTCTCTGGTTTCTTCCACTATAGCCAAACCAGCCCAGGGGACAGCCAGCGTCTGCCTCTTAGCCACCCACTGACCACTTCCTGCTGCCTGAGCAGCAGAGAAGCTTCTCATTCCCAGCCCATTTCCTCCTCACCCATGGCCTGGGCTTTTCCTTCCCTGACCTTTACCCCTCCCACGTTGACATTTCTGACTTCTCTATCTCCTCTCGACTTTCCTCACTTTGTCCTCTTGCCCTAGTGTGCCCCAACCCCCCAGCCTGTCTATCCAGATTGCCCTGGTGATCTAGAGAGAGAATATTTTCTATTCGTTTACTCATTCATCCATTCATCCAGCAGACGTATAAAGAGCACCTACCCACTTTATGCCAGACTCTGAACTCACAGCTGCTGAGGATCAACGATGTGTGATGTAGTCTCAGAAGAGACCCTTTCCACTAGGTTCCTTGGGTTTCTGAGCAACAGGAATGGACTAGGACCAACTTAAGAAAGAAGGCTTCGTGGGAAGCGCATTGGGATAAGCTCAGAGAGGAATAGCTGGACAGTTAACCTTGAGAAGGGGGTAAGCCTGAGTAGCTCTAGAGCTTGCTTCCCAGGAGCTACTGCTATTGTCAGGTGAACACCGACTGTCCATTGGTCCCAGTGGGCCTCCCTCCATTCAAGGTTCCAATTCCTGGCCTGGGGCTCAGGATATCATGGAGTGGGAGAAGGGCAGTTTTCCAAAGGATGGGGATTACCAGAAGAACGATGGAGAGTGGGAAGGTAGAGAAGGCTTGGTGGACGACCACAAAAGATACCCCAATATACACCCCTGCACACACTGTTCTTGCTACCTACGTATTAGCGACTCTTCCACATACAACCAAAAGCAAATTTCTCTCTGCTTAGGGGGACGACTCAGGGTCACATCCAATGACTAAGTCCAAGAGTAATGACCAGGGCTACCATTCTCCAAAATCCAGTGTCACCAGTGATGTCCGCCCTCTTTTATCACAATCCTATTTTGAAATCTTGCAACCTGCGGATTAACTGGTAAAATGAACCATTTTCAACCAAAATGATATAAGCTAGCAAGAAAGTAACACTATGGGTAAAAGCTACCGTCCACTTTCATAGCAGGTCATGAGAACTATTATTTATGACTAGGTATTTTTGCCTGTCAGAGTGACCCAGATCTTCATTTCTGAAGTCCATCTCCTTAGTGATCCTGCCTAGGTTGCAGAATGTGGCAGTACCAGGAACACTCTAGGAATCTCCATGTCTGACTGTGCTCCTTTTCTGTAGTAGCAAGCTACCTTTCCCTTGATAGAGTTAATCATCCTACTCCCATAACCTCTTGTTATGTGTTGCTCAAAGGTATAAGGAGCCTGAAATGGCCAGGTACCTAGCTTCCAATTCGCTTGAATCACAACTATGACTTTTTGAGGAGGTGTTTCCATGGGGACTGAAACCTCTACACCAGCCTAGTCCCAAACCTCAGGCATGAGAAAAGCATTGAGATGTAGTGATAACAGACCCTCTCCTCTCGACGTCCTAGCCTGTGGAAGAAATAGCATCATGGGTTGGTTGCCAGTTCAGAGCTTTTGCTACTTCCTGTGGACCTGTCCCAACCTTGCAAGGTATTGTTTCTCAGCTGGGGCCATAGCGGAGTTCTCAACAAACCATTTCATGATACTGTCAGGCTAACTGCTTTGGGACTGACGAGATGAGTGACTGCCATAGGTGTCAACCCATTACTTCACCTGTGCTGTAAAGTGCGTCCTCTGGTGACGTTTACAGAATTTCATAATTCCATGGATATTGGTGGTGGGAGAGGCGTGATGGGGAAGGAAAGCAAATCCAAATCCAGAAGGGCCCATAATGGTCACAACGAATTCCTGCCCTCTTAAAGCCATGGGTGTAGATTGAGGGGAGCTCAGCTATAGGGCAGGAGGAGGCATTCTGGGAGACTGAGTGAGCAACCCACACACATGACTGTCCTGGGCCTTCAGAGACCTACTCTGGATGCCCAGCTGAGGATGGAGTGCTTCCGGCCATGCCTCACTGGTTGGGTAGATCAGACCCCAGTCCACAAGGGACAGCCTAGCCACCTAGATGCTGTAGCCAAGCATTTAGGGTCTCCCCAGAGCCCAGTGGCAAGCCAGAGGGCCGTGTCTCAAAAGGATAATTTTTGACCAGAGCATCACTTGCTTCCAAACCCTACTGTATTTTTCTAGCCAGTACTCGCCACAAGCTTCATTTAGCACTCTGCTCAGCCAACGGCTCTAAACGGCTCCCCAGTGTGCCTCAGACAGACGGATACCTCAAACACCATTGAATCCGCCAGGTCACGTGGCCTGGTGAAAGAACCATTTCTACTAAAGGCTTTGCCAGTTGGGAGCCTTCATTTGCTGTAGTCCCAACCCAAAGCTGGTGGCCTTTCTAGGTCAATCAGTAAGTGGGTTGGAGCAAGATTCCCCAAAGTGACATTTTCCACTCGAATTGGGCCTTAGTGGTAAGGAAGTCAAAATGCAATGATTTGTTCTCCATTATGGAGGAAATATTCTGACCTCAAGAGACTCCTTGACCCCCAGGAACTCATTAGGCGGGTAGGCCTTTGCACTTCGATTTATCTCCCACCTCTGACTCAAGAATACCTTACCAAGGCATCTAGGGAAACTGTTGATGCTGTCAGTGTGATGGACCTCAATGGTGATGAGGTTAAGGTCCCTGTGAACCAGGTTGTGGCGCAGAGCTAGGCAACTAAGATCTCTACGTTTAAGCCAGGACAGCAACAGAGTCCTGCTACCCTGCCAGATGAAGATGAATGCTTCTGATGTTCTTTGTTCATCAAAATAGACGGAAAAATGAATTCACTAGATCAAAGGATTTATACCAAATGCCAGAAGCTGGATGAATTTGCTTTAGTAAGAAGACCATCTCTGGAACAGCACCTACAATTGGAGTCATCACTTTTGAACGTTTACAGCAGTCCAAAGACCTCCTGGTGTCTTGTCCTGGCCAGGCTGAACTGTGGTAGGGATCACTATGACTTCACTCTCAAGTCTTTGGTAGAAACACTACTGTCTACAGTTTCCCCAGGAATGTGGGATCACTTTTGATTTACCGTTGCACTAAAGAGGGGGAATTCTAATGGCTTGTACTTGTCCTGTCCCACTAGACTTGCCCACAAGTCAGAGAACCATTGTGGAATTTATGCCCACTTCAAAATATATCAGTTTCAACGGTGTACTTAATCCTTGGTTGGCTTTGAGATTCCACTGGGTCTACTCTAGCATAAAATTTGGTTTATGAATCATCCTCATCGATTGGCAGATCACATGCTTTTCTATTGTTCCCAGAAATTGGATTTAGCCTGGAGCCAGTGTCCTACAGAGGACACCCCTCTCCCCAGGTTTAGGTGTTTACCCTTTCCTCCTGTAATTCCCAGACAAAGGCCCAAACAGATCCCTTTGGGGAAGGCTGCAAGGAAGGTTTACAAGGAGCATCTAAGTGTTAAAATAAGGTTTCTTTTCAAAGACACTTGATTTCCTCTTCATCGGCGGTCTGGAAATCAAGTGGCAGGTTTTGACTCTATCTTGATATCCTGAGAAAGAAACTGTTTACCCACCCAGAAGTCTTTAGTTATGGCAGTAACTAGGCAGTATCTTCAGGGATGTCTGGTATTTTTCATTCCCGGGACCCAGTGATGGGTTAGCCACAGCTAGAGGTATGGTTTTCATGCCCGTGTGCGTTATGATGACTCCCTACTTTGTTCCTTCTCTGTGCCTCTGCTGCTGAGATCAGGGGCTCATTTTCATAGCAGCTGTCCCAAGCAGCATTCCAAGCCCGGGGCACAGAGCCAGCAGAGCCTTGCCAAGTCATCTCTCATGGCAAGGAGGGAGACGGCCTGGGCGCTGCCGGAGGACAGTGAGTGGGTGATGGACTGATGCATGCCAAGGACCCAATAAAGCATTCTTGTCTCCTGAAATCTGTGAGTTCCTGCCTTTCTTGGATTTTTGGTCTTTTAATATAATTTAAAATGGTCAACATTTGGTTCAGATTTATATTCTTTAACACCCCCCCCCCCAAAAAAAAAGGTAAGAAATGTACCTGACTGTTTGAGCTTCTGCTTTGAATATAGAATCTCTGGTGGGTGGACATACCAACAAATGGAACCTGCACCAAAGTTATGTCTTCGTCAAATGTCCTTAAAAGAATTTCCAGCCCTGGCCAGTTTGGCTCAGCGGTTCGAGCGTCGGCCTGCGGTCCAGAGAGACCCGGGTTCGGTTCCCGCTAAGGGCATGTACCTGGGTTGCAGTTTGTCCCCGGCCCTGGTTGGGCAGCCCCTCCATGTGTCCCTTTCACG